AAGCGTGGAATTGAAGCGTGGAATTGAAGCACGGAATTGAAGCGTGGAATTGAAGCGTGGAATTGAAGCGTGGAATTGAAGCGTGGAATTGAAGCGTGGAATTGAAGCGTGGAATTGAAGCGTGGAATTGAAGCGTGGAATTGAAGCGTGGAATTGAAGCGTGGAATTGAAGCATGGAATTGAAGCATGGAATTGAAGCGTGGAATTGAAGCGTGGAATTGAAGCGTGGAATTGAAGCATGGAATTGAAGCGTGGAATTGAAGCGTGGAATTGAAGCGTGGAATTGAAGCGTGGAATTGAAGCGTGGAATTGAAGCATGGAATTGAAGCATGGAATTGAAGCGTGGAATTGAAGCGTGGAATTGAAGCGTGGAATTGAAGCATGGAATTGAAGCGTGGAATTGAAGCGTGGAATTGAAGCATGGAATTGAAGCGTGGAATTGAAGCATGGAATTGAAGCGTGGAATTGAAGCGTGGAATTGAAGCGTGGAATTGAAGCGTGGAATTGAAGCGTGGAATTGAAGCATGGAATTGAAGCATGGAATTGAAGCGTGGAATTGAAGCGTGGAATTGAAGCGTGGAATTGAAGCATGGAATTGAAGCATGGAATTGAAGCGTGGAATTGAAGCATGGAATTGAAGCGTGGAATTGAAGCGTGGAATTGAAGCATGGAATTGAAGCATGGAATTGAAGCATGGAATTGAAGCGTGGAATTGAAGCGTGGAATTGAAGCGTGGAATTGAAGCATGGAATTGAAGCGTGGAATTGAAGCATGGAATTGAAGCGTGGAATTGAAGCGTGGAATTGAAGCGTGGAATTGAAGCATGGAATTGAAGCGTGGAATTGAAGCGTGGAATTGAAGCGTGGAATTGAAGCATGGAATTGAAGCATGGAATTGAAGCGTGGAATTGAAGCGTGGAATTGAAGCATGGAATTGAAGCATGGAATTGAAGCATGGAATTGAAGCATGGAATTGAAGCGTGGAATTGAAGCGTGGAATTGAAGCGTGGAATTGAAGCGTGGAATTGAAGCATGGAATTGAAGCGTGGAATTGAAGCGTGGAATTGAAGCGTGGAATTGAAGCATGGAATTGAAGCGTGGAATTGAAGCGTGGAATTGAAGCATGGAATTGAAGCGTGGAATTGAAGCGTGGAATTGAAGCGTGGAATTGAAGCATGGAATTGAAGCATGGAATTGAAGCGTGGAATTGAAGCGTGGAATTGAAGCGTGGAATTGAAGCGTGGAATTGAAGCGTGGAATTGAAGCATGGAATTGAAGCGTGGAATTGAAGCGTGGAATTGAAGCATGGAATTGAAGCGTGGAATTGAAGCATGGAATTGAAGCGTGGAATTGAAGCGTGGAATTGAAGCGTGGAATTGAAGCGTGGAATTGAAGCATGGAATTGAAGCATGGAATTGAAGCGTGGAATTGAAGCGTGGAATTGAAGCGTGGAATTGAAGCATGGAATTGAAGCGTGGAATTGAAGCGTGGAATTGAAGCGTGGAATTGAAGCGTGGAATTGAAGCGTGGAATTGAAGCATGGAATTGAAGCATGGAATTGAAGCGTGGAATTGAAGCGTGGAATTGAAGCGTGGAATTGAAGCGTGGAATTGAAGCATGGAATTGAAGCGTGGAATTGAAGCGTGGAATTGAAGCGTGGAATTGAAGCGTGATTGAGCATGAATTGAAGCATGGAATTGAAGCATGGAATTGAAGCGTGGAATTGAAGCATGGAATTGAAGCGTGGAATTGAAGCGTGGAATTGAAGCATGGAATTGAAGCGTGGAATTGAAGCGTGGAATTGAAGCGTGGAATTGAAGCGTGGAATTGAAGCGTGGAATTGAAGCATGGAATTGAAGCATGGAATTGAAGCGTGGAATTGAAGCGTGGAATTGAAGCGTGGAATTGAAGCGTGGAATTGAAGCGTGGAATTGAAGCATGGAATTGAAGCATGGAATTGAAGCGTGGAATTGAAGCGTGGAATTGAAGCGTGGAATTGAAGCATGGAATTGAAGCGTGGAATTGAAGCGTGGAATTGAAGCATGGAATTGAAGCATGGAATTGAAGCGTGGAATTGAAGCGTGGAATTGAAGCGTGGAATTGAAGCGTGGAATTGAAGCATGGAATTGAAGCGTGGAATTGAAGCGTGGAATTGAAGCGTGGAATTGAAGCGTGGAATTGAAGCAGTGGAATTGAAGCATGGAATTGAAGCGTGGAATTGAAGCGTGGAATTGAAGCATGGAATTGAAGCGTGGAATTGAAGCGTGGAATTGAAGCGTGGAATTGAAGCATGGAATTGAAGCGTGGAATTGAAGCGTGGAATTGAAGCATGGAATTGAAGCGTGGAATTGAAGCGTGGAATTGAAGCATGGAATTGAAGCGTGGAATTGAAGCATGGAATTGAAGCGTGGAATTGAAGCGTGGAATTGAAGCGTGGAATTGAAGCGTGGAATTGAAGCGTGGAATTGAAGCGTGGAATTGAAGCGTGGAATTGAAGCGTGGAATTGAAGCGTGGAATTGAAGCATGGAATTGAAGCGTGGAATTGAAGCGTGGAATTGAAGCGTGGAATTGAAGCAGTGGAATTGAAGCATGGAATTGAAGCGTGGAATTGAAGCGTGGAATTGAAGCGTGGAATTGAAGCGTGGAATTGAAGCATGGAATTGAAGCATGGAATTGAAGCGTGGAATTGAAGCGTGGAATTGAAGCGTGGAATTGAAGCGTGGAATTGAAGCGTGGAATTGAAGCATGGAATTGAAGCGTGGAATTGAAGCGTGGAATTGAAGCGTGGAATTGAAGCATGGAATTGAAGCGTGGAATTGAAGCGTGGAATTGAAGCATGGAATTGAAGCGTGGAATTGAAGCGTGGAATTGAAGCATGGAATTGAAGCGTGGAATTGAAGCATGGAATTGAAGCGTGGAATTGAAGCGTGGAATTGAAGCGTGGAATTGAAGCGTGGAATTGAAGCGTGGAATTGAAGCGTGGAATTGAAGCGTGGAATTGAAGCGTGGAATTGAAGCGTGGAATTGAAGCGTGGAATTGAAGCGTGGAATTGAAGCGTGGAATTGAAGCGTGGAATTGAAGCATGGAATTGAAGCGTGGAATTGAAGCGTGGAATTGAAGCGTGGAATTGAAGCGTGGAATTGAAGCGTGGAATTGAAGCGTGGAATTGAAGCGTGGAATTGAAGCGTGGAATTGAAGCGTGGAATTGAAGCGTGGAATTGAAGCGTGGAATTGAAGCGTGGAATTGAAGCGTGGAATTGAAGCGTGGAATTGAAGCGTGGAATTGAAGCATGGAATTGAAGCGTGGAATTGAAGCGTGGAATTGAAGCGTGGAATTGAAGCGTGGAATTGAAGCGTGGAATTGAAGCATGGAATTGAAGCATGGAATTGAAGCGTGGAATTGAAGCGTGGAATTGAAGCGTGGAATTGAAGCGTGGAATTGAAGCGTGGAATTGAAGCATGGAATTGAAGCGTGGAATTGAAGCGTGGAATTGAAGCGTGGAATTGAAGCGTGGAATTGAAGCGTGGAATTGAAGCGTGGAATTGAAGCGTGGAATTGAAGCGTGGAATTGAAGCGTGGAATTGAAGCGTGGAATTGAAGCGTGGAATTGAAGCGTGGAATTGAAGCATGGAATTGAAGCGTGGAATTGAAGCGTGGAATTGAAGCGTGGAATTGAAGCGTGGAATTGAAGCGTGGAATTGAAGCGTGGAATTGAAGCGTGGAATTGAAGCGTGGAATTGAAGCGTGGAATTGAAGCGTGGAATTGAAGCGTGGAATTGAAGCGTGGAATTGAAGCGTGGAATTGAAGCATGGAATTGAAGCGTGGAATTGAAGCGTGGAATTGAAGCGTGGAATTGAAGCGTGGAATTGAAGCGTGGAATTGAAGCGTGGAATTGAAGCGTGGAATTGAAGCGTGGAATTGAAGCGTGGAATTGAAGCGTGATGGAAGCATGGAATTGAAGCGTGGAATTGAAGCGTGGAATTGAAGCGTGGAATTGAAGCGTGGAATTGAAGCGGGAATTGAAGCGTGGAATTGAAGCGTGGAATTGAAGCGTGGAATTGAAGCGTGGAATTGAAGCGTGGAATTGAAGCGTGGAATTGAAGCGTGGAATTGAAGCGTGGAATTGAAGCGTGGAATTGAAGCGTGGAATTGAAGCGTGGAATTGAAGCGTGGAATTGAAGCGTGGAATTGAAGCGTGGAATTGAAGCGTGGAATTGAAGCGTGGAATTGAAGCGTGGAATTGAAGCGTGGAATTGAAGCGTGGAATTGAAGCGTGGAATTGAAGCGTGGAATTGAAGCGTGGAATTGAAGCGTGGAATTGAAGCGTGGAATTGAAGCGTGGAATTGAAGCGTGGAATTGAAGCGTGGAATTGAAGCGTGGAATTGAAGCGTGGAATTGAAGCGTGGAATCACCAAATGAATAATGAGCTAGGGAAGGTGCCGGCTGGCCATTATATAGCTGGGGGAAGGGGAAGAGGCTAGGAGGGAAGAGGCTAAGTCCCCCTTTCTCTCTCTCTCTCTCTCTCTCTCTCTCTCTCTCTCTCTCTCTCTCTCTCTCTCTCTCTCTCTCTCTCTCGGAGTCAAGGGCTGTGGACCAGAGCTCCCAGCAGCATCACCGGCATGGCTATTCCCTCTATGACTGCACATTCACCTGCCGGAACAGTTTAGCTCTTCCGGCATGTTATTCCGTCTATGGCTGCCCAGCAGGCTTCCTACTCTTACTGCTTTTTTTTAGTCGACTCAAAAGTAGTTCCGTCTCTTCTGTTTGCACACACACCTGCCAAAACAGTTTGGCTCCACCCTGGTTCACCCCTCCTTGCTCCTTGCCTCTCCCCTTCCCTCTTCCCAACCACCCGCACCCTCCAAGCAGCCCAACAGCACATACTACGTGAGAGGCGGATGGCATGGCGCAGCTACTCCCTGTACGACTGCACGGCCGAGTTCCGTCTCTTCTGCCTGCACACTCATCTGCCTCAGTGCGGCGCCAATGCTCAGCAATGCTGATCCTGCATCTAGATCCTTCCCTCTCTTCCCCTCTTCCCGCCTTACCTCTTCTTGTCCTAACCACCTGGCAGCCCAGCGCCAGATACTACGTGCTAGACGTGATGGCATGGCGCGGCTATTCTCTCTATGATTGCACGGCCGAGTTCCGCCTCTTCTGGCTGCACACGCACCTGCTGCAGTGCGGCTGCCTATTGAAACCAACTGTGCTCATGTTTCCCCCCCGACACCTCCTGTCCCTTGAAACCAATAACACATACTACGTGCTGGACGTGATGGCATGGCGCGGCTTTTCTCTGTATGACTGCACGGCCGAGTTTCGTCTCTTCTGGCTGCACACACACCTGCCGTAGTGTGGCGCTTGCGACCCGTTCCCCCACTTCCACCGCTTCCGCTTCGCCCCCACACCCTTCTTTCACTGCCACAGCAAAGGACTGGAGGCTGCTTACTGCGGGTGGAGAGAGGAAAAAGCCTGCTTACTCTGAAAAAACTCCCATGTTCTTCCCTTCCTCCCCGCTGTCCCCTGCCAGCCCAACAGCACCTATTACGTTCTAGACGTGATGGCATGGCGTGGTTATTCTCTATATGATTGCACCGCGGAGTTTCGACTCTTCTGGCTGCACACACACCTGCCGCAGTGTGGCGCCTGCGACCCGCCCTCCCACTTCCACCGCTTCCGCTTCGCTCCCGTGCCGTTTTTTGAATGCCATCGCCAAGGGCTGGAGGCTGCTTACTGCGGGTGGAGAGAGGTGGGGGGTGGGGCAGCAGGGGCAGGGCAGGCAGGGGGAGCAGGGGGAGCAGGGGGAGCAGGGGGAGCAGGGGGGGCAGGGGGGGAGATGGGGGGCGCCGAGGGAGCAGGGGTAGGAGCGGCAGAAGGAACGGGGAGTGCAACGACAGTGACTGGTAGCAGTGCAAATGGAATGGTGAATGGTGCCCCAGTGTCAACTACAGCGGCTGAACAAGTGGAGTTCACTCGCGATGGGCTTCTCTTTTACAACCGGTATGATATCCAACTCTCCTCTTGCTCCTCCTCTTGCCACTCCTCTTGCTCCTCCTCTTCCTCAGCCTGTTGTTTCATTTGTTTCCCCATGTAGTGGTTTGAGCTGTCGAAAGTGAACAGGTGGGCTGCGGAGGCCTGATTTCCATCAACTCTTGCTGTTTCGTTTGTTTCCCTGTGTAGTGGTTTGTTGCATGCGGAGGGATGCAGTACAGCTTGCATTCGGTTCGCCCGCACCACACCCCTCTTAGCCCCACATTCATTCCTCCCTCCCTCCCCAACTTCCCTCAATCGTCCTCTCCCCCCTCTCTCCCAGCCACACGCACCACACGTTGGGCCTCTTCCCACTGATGTTGCAGTGTTAGCAGATCCTCTGACATTTTCCAGTGAGCTGCAGTGCTAAAATGTCAGAGGATCTACTACACCTTGGGCCTCTCACCGCTGCTGCTGCAGTGGAAGGATGCTGTGTGTGTGCACTCAGTTCGCTCCCTTCTTCGCCCCACCAGTAATATTCCCCTCCCTCCATTCCCCAACCCCCCCCCCCCATTTCCCTTTCTTCCCAGCCACTCGCACTACACCTTGGGCCTCTCGCCCCTGGTGCTGCAGTGGAAGGATGCAGCGTGCAGTCGGCTCGCTCCCCACTTTGTCCCACCATTCATCCCTCCTTCCTTTCCCAACAACCCCCATTCTTTCACCCTCTCAGACATTCGCACTACACGTTGGGCTTCTCGCCCCATGCGGCTGCAATGGAAGGATGCAGCGTGCAGCTGGTTTGCTCCCCTCCATGCCCTACAAGTAATATCTCCCTCCCTCATTACCCAATGCCCCCCATTCTTTCACCCTCTCAGCCACTCGCACTACACCTTGGGTCTCTCTCCCCTGCTGCTGCAGTGGAAGGATGCAGCGTGCAGCCGATTCGTTATCGACACTGATGGGGCAGGGAAGATTCCGGAGCAGCAGCAGGTGAGGCGATGGACAGGTAGCAGTAGGTGATTTCCGCACGCCTCTTGCCGTTCTCCTTATTGTTCCTCCGTGTGTCCTTTGTTCCTCCGTGTGTCCTTTGTTCCTCCGTGTGTCCTTTGTTCCTCCGTGTGTCCGGAGCACGGAGTGAAGAGAGCACGGAGCACGGAGTGAAGAGAGCACGGAGCACGGAGCACGGAGCACGGAGCACGGAGTGAAGAGAGCACGGAGCACGGAGTGAAGAGGGCACGGAGCACGGAGTGAAGAGAGCACGGAGCACGGAGTGAAGAGAGCACGGAGCACGGAGTGAAGAGAGCACGGAGCACGGAGTGAAGAGAGCACGGAGCACGGAGTGAACTCCGTGCTCTCTTCCCTCCCCCCGCACCCCATGGCAAAAGAGGATGATTGATTGGAAAAGAAGGTACAAGTAGGAGAAAGGGTGGGCAAGATGGTGCACCACCAACAATAACAGTAACACTACACAGTAGCTACACTAGCAGGCAGCTATAAGAAATTTACAATTTCTAACACACCCCCTAACTGTCTGCAGTGGGAGCCACGTGCAGAGACACCAGATCAGAGTAGCACAGTAGGTGTACGGTGGCAGAGGCACCGGTGGCAGGTGCGGCGGTGGTAGGTAGACTTCACTCCTGCCACCCCCTCACCCTCCTCCCCCACTGCAGTAGGTGTGGCAGTAGGAGGCGGCTGTTGCTGAAACACGGGGAGGCGGCTGCTGCTGAAACACGGGGAGGTGGCTGCTACTGAAGCACGGGAGGCGGCTGCTGCTGAAACACGTCCGCCACCCCCTCACCCTCCCCCCACAGCAGCAGGCGCAGCCGTGAGAGAGGAGGAGGCACATCCGCCACCCCCTCACACCCTCTCCCCCCCTCCCCCCCCAAAACTGCTGCACGCGCAACAGGGAGATGGAGGAGAAGGGGGGGGGGGGGGGGGGGGGGGGGGGCGGGGTATGAGCTGCGCGTGCGACTGCAGGGCGCGCGGGCAGGCAGAAACCGTCGCGCGCTCGAGGCGTGCGACGGGCAGGAACCAACGCGCAGCCGGGGCGCGCATCGGGCAGAAACCGACGCGCAGCCGGGGCGGGCATCGGGCAGAAACCGTCGCGCAGCCGGGGCGCGCATCGGGCAGAAACCAACGCGCAGCCGGGGTAGGCATCGGGCAGGCGCGCGACGGGCAGGAACCGACGTGCAGCCAGGGCGCGCATCGAGCAGAAACCGACGCGCAGCCGGGGCGGGCATCGGGCAGAAACCGTCGTGCGCCCGGGGCGTGCGACGGGCACGAACCGACGCTCGCCCTGGGCGCGCGACGGGCAGCTTGACGGACTGCGCCATAGCGGAAGCTAATGGTGGGCCCAAAGATGAAGGCTCTAGGAACGAGCTTGCACTGAATACCATGTTGAAACAACTGAACGAGAATGATTGGATTGAACAGAAGTTTGGGTACAAGTACTAACCCTAATTGGGTTGTACCCTTTATGGGCTACCCCGCTATAGCCTACACAATGTAAGCACTATATAAGTTTGACACTCTGTACCCGTCTTTATCCATCCCCAGGTGGTTCTCCTGCTGGCAGCAGCCGGCTCTCTGGTGACGAGCGACGATCCTCCAGTGGTCTTCGGTTCCCTGCCGCCCCACACTCTCAATGATGTACGTACTGTGTCCAATGAGTTGTTGCTGGGAGCGAGTGTTGCTGGGAGCGATTGTTGCTGGGGGCTAGGTCTGGTAACAGACATGTGTTCTCAGATGCCCCATACACCTACCTCCTACTTACCACTCGTTCCCCTCCGCACTTCTTTCTTCTTCTTCATCCTCTCCCCAGCCCTCCCTGCACCTGCGTCCAAACAAGCTGCTGCACTTCGCCATAGGCCAGGGCGGGTTGCACCTGGAGCAGGGCCGAGTGGTGGGGGCGGACCTGCTGCTGCAAGGGTGCTTTGCCCTCGTAAATACCTCTTTCCCCTCCGTGCTTCTTTGTCTCTCTCTCTCTCTCATCCATCCCAGCCCTCCCTGCACCTGCGCCCAAACAAGCTGCTGCGATTCGCCATAGATTCCGGCGGGTTGCATCTGGAGCAGGGCCGAGTAGTGGCGGCAGACCTGCTGATTGCTTACCCTCCATGCTCCTGTCCTTCCTGATTCCTTCCTCCCCATCCCAGCCGTCCCTGCATCTGCGACCCAACAAGCTACTGCGCTTTGCCGTAGGCCCAGGCGGGTTGCATGAGGAGCAGGGCCGAGTGGGGGGGGCGGACCTGCTGCCACACGTGTGTGTGTTCCCAATCTCAAGACTGTCTATGCAATCAGCTCCTGTCTGCCCCCCTCTTCTCTCTGTGTTACTGTGGTGTTACTGTGTGTTTCTCTTCACCCCTTCCTCCATTTTTCCCTCCTCCTCCCCTCTCCCCAGCCCTCCCTGCACCTGCGACCCAACAAACTACTGCGCTTTGCCATAGGCCCAGGCGGGTTGCATCTGGAGGAGGGGCGAGTGGTGGGGGCGGACCTGCTGTATCAGGGAGCGGCCAACCAGAGGAGAGGTGGCGCTGATAGCTGCTCCAAGGTGTGCCTGGTGTTTAGGGAACGAGGGAGGGAATGGGATGTGGATGGGTGCTCGGTGGTGGGGATGGGTCTGCTGCTGCAAGGGGAAGTTAATCAGAGGGGAGGCTGCGCTGGCAGCTGCTCCAAGGTGGGAATGAATGAGGGATGAAGGAGTTGCCACGGTGTATTGAGTAAATAGGAGGGATAGTGGGTAAGGGATACCGTTGTGTGCTGCTGTTCAGCAGCAGTAACAGCAAGGGGTGTCAAATTATAGGCGAGGCGGCGCTGGCACCAGCTTCAAGGTGGAAATGAGGGGTGATGGTCATGCCACGGTGTATGGTGTAAGGGTACGGGATATGGGAGGTGGGTTGTGTGCTTCTCCCTCTCCTCACCACCACTTTCTTCCTCGTCCTCCCCTCACTCTCCTCCGACCTTCTCTCCCTCTCCTCTTGGCTCAATTTACCTGTATCCCCTCCATATTCCCATCAAAGCTTCCCTTTTTGGTCTTCCTACTCCATTTTTCGACTTCTTTCTGCACGTTTCTCTTCCCCTTTAAATGTGTTCCCAGATCCTGTTTCAGTATGCGGCTCGGTACTCCCCTCTCACCATTCAGGACATCGCTGCTGCATTAGTAGCAGGACATGAAGTAGGTGTAGAAAACATGTAGGGTAAACCTTATTTCGTACAATGAGTTGTGTAGCGAATGCAACAAGCACACGCATCATGTGGCATATCCTGCTAGAGAATGTATTTAGTTCATCATTGTAGTGTTTTAGTAGTATATACCAACATATATCACATTGAAAGATAAACTTCTGCTTTTGTTTTTTGGCTCGGTACACAACTTCTGCTTCTGCTTTTATTGAAATGCGCTGCAAGTTCTCCAATATCGCGTGTTTTACTCCAGCTGCGTGCCTTTCGCACTGCATGAACACACTCCACGTACTCGTCCGATAATGCGCATGCTGTCAGAGCGCGTTGCGCCCTCAATCGGCCAGCTCAGCTTCCAGTTAGACAGCTTGTTTCTGTTGGTGCTTCGGCGCTTGTCATGACATTCCACGTGAGCGCAGCGCCCAGACCAGACGCGCCATTTCTCTCTCGTGTCATCATGCCGCAAGTCCCGCACCTAAGGGCCCTCGTCCCTCCTTTACCTTTACCGCAAGTACCGCACCGCATTCCGAGCTGCGATTTCCCCCCTTCCCGCCTCTTTCCCCCCCCGGAGCGGCATGGGATTTCCTCGAGGGGGCGTTGCGCTGCACGCTGCGCACATGCCAGTGCGTCTCCCCTTCTACTCAGCCCCAGAGCAGGCCTGCGTGTCAAATTCCCGCCTGCGCGCAGCTTGCGCACATTCAGTATGTTGCGCCGGTCTGGGTCCCACCTTCCGCCAGGATTTCCCCTCCCCAGTGCGCCCCTGCGCACCAGTGCCTTGCTCCGCACGCTCCCATCACCATGCGCTCGTGCAACCTGCACCTACATGCTGCCCCTCATGCTTCCCCACATGCACCCCCGCACCACCTCGGGTGCTCCCCCGACGATCACGACCCCACTGGAGCCCCTCTTTCTGCGCCCGTCTCTCCACCTCGGGGCAAACCTGCTGCGCCGCATGCTCCGACCTGCTCCCCCACATGCTCCCCCGCCCTCTCCCTTTCCGCCGCCTGCGCTCTCCCTGCGACGAACCCACTCGCGCGCCTCTATCCAACGCGGGGCGGACTTGCCGAATTGCTCGGTTCGGGGGCAGGAAGGTGGCGGATTGAACGGTAACAGTCGGTGAAGCCGCCACGGTGGGTCTGGAAAGTCGGGGTTTGATGGATTCCAGTCAACGCCTGATCTCGTCGGTCAGCGAGGCAGAGGGTGGGATCGCACGCTGCGTGAGAGAAATCGAGCGTTAGATTGTTCTGCAGACCATTCCATCCCTCCCTCCATCCATTGAACAGGGAGAGACAGAACGTTGGGGGTCAATCCACTGGTCCGTCTATCCACTAACTGGCCTCGTGATACTACAAGCGGCTGCGAGACTCTTGCTTGCGGGTGTTGAACCAGTCTCAAGATTCAAGATTCAAGATTCAAGATTCAAGATTCACGTAGATGGATGCAATGGCGATAAGTGAGGAGCGTCCAGAATCGTCTAGAGCGATGCGGGATGGCAGCAGGGTGACGGTGGGCGTGCTGTCCAAGTGGGTGCACATTGGCCGGGGGTGGGCGCCAAGGCTGTTCCTTCTCAGACAGGTGAGGGGACCAATGCATTGGTATCTTTTTTTCAAGCGCTAGGTGTTTTGAAAGGATGGCGGATGGAGGGCGTTTTGCCTCAGTGGGTGAACAGCGGCCAGGTGAGGGCAATGAATGAAGTCGCCTCGCCGCCAAGAAAATTCTTCTCAGACAGGTGAGGGCAATGAATGAAGTCACCTCGGCGCCAAGAAAATTCTTCTCAGACAGGTGAGGGCAATGAATGAAGTCACCTCGGCGCCAAGAAAATTCTTCTCAGACAGGTGAGGGCAATGAATGAAGTCACCTTGGCGCCAAGAAAATTCTTCTCAGACAGGTGAGGGCAATGAATGAAGTCACCTCGGCGCCAAGAAAATTCTTCTCAGACAGGTGAGGGCAATGAATGAAGTCACCTTGTTCTTTTTCCTCCACTCCTCTTCTTCTCCCACTCGCTTCTTCCCCCGATTCACAGCACCACCTCCTCTACTTCAAGCTCCGTGGCAGCTCTACGGCTGCAATGATTTAGAAGCTTTCGAGTCTTTTCACGTCTTTTTGTTTTCCTCTTCTACCTCTCTCTTCCTCCCCACCCCACCCCACCAGCGTCACCTCCTCTACTTCAAGCTCCGGGGCAGCTCCACAGCTGCAATGATCCGGAAGCTTCAGCAGCAGTACGATCATGTGGCTCTTATAGGGAGGGCTGTGTCGGACCTGGTTGGTGACTATAACGAAGGGGTTCTGTGCAAGGGAGAGGAGGAGGGTAGTGGGAATGTGGGAGAAGGTGGGGATGAGGAGGGGGATGAAGAGGATGAGGATGAGGGAGAGGGTGAGGAAAAGGGAGTGAGTTTGAGATGCCATGGGATGGAGGAGAGAGAAACGCCATTGATGTCAGGAGATGAAGAGGAGGATGAGGATAAGGAGGATGAGGAGAGAGGTGGGAATGGAGATGGGGAAGAGGAGGAGGTGGAGGAGGGTGAGAAGGGAGCGGAGGAGGAGGCAAGGGAGGGAGAGGAGGCAGAGGAGGAGTTGAAGGGGCAAACGGAACAAGTGAAGGGGAGGCTGTTGCCTTCCACAGAAAACCGGCAGGGAGCAGCAGTTGGGTATGGTTTGAGGGACGACGATAGGGTTACCATTGAGGAGAGAGGCCCACTCTCACCCGTTCGATCTGCTGGTGGGATTCGCATTGGCAGTCAAGGGGATCCCATCCCCCACCCCCACCGCCACCACCACTATCACCACCATCAGCATCACCATAGCCCCCACCAGCACCACCACCGCAGCAGCCGGTTAAAGCCGAGAACTCCCAGCATACTCAGAACGCCCCCGCTCAACCCCCGGGCTTTAAGTGCTGCAGTGTCAAAGCTCCTGGCGGCATCCCCTAGGCGCAGTCCCCTGGAAAGCTGTGGTTATGGAGGGGGGAGGATGGAGGGGGGGGAGGGAGAGGAGGGTAGGGGCAGCAGGGAGGGAGGGATGAAGGGGTGGGGAGATAGTGGTGCAAGGGGCGTTGGGATTGTGGTTGAGACAGAGGAGCCACAAGGGGTGATTGAGCTGCACACGGTGAGTTGCACACGGTGAGTTGCACACGGTGAGTTGCACACGGTGAGTCGCACACGGTGAGTTGCACACGGTGAGTTGCACACGGTGAGTTGCACACGGTGAGCTGCACACGGTGAGTTGCACACGGTGAGCTGCACACGGTGAGTTGCACACGGTGAGTTGCACACGGTGAGTTGCACACGGTGAGTTGCACACGGTGAGTTGCACACGGTGAGTTGCACACGGTGAGTTGCACACGGTGAGTTGCACACGGTGAGTTGCACACGGTGAGTTGCACACGGTGAGCTGCACACGGTGAGCTGCACACGGTGAGCTGCACACGGTGAGTTGCACACGGTGAGTTGCACACGGTGAGTTGCACACGGTGAGTTGCACACGGTGAGTTGCACACGGTGAGCTGCACACGGTGAGCTGCACACGGTGAGCTGCACACGGTGAGCTGCACACGGTGAGCTGCACACGGTGAGTTGCACACGGTGAGCTGCACACGGTGAGCTGCACACGGTGAGTTGCACACGGTGAGTTGCACACGGTGAGCTGCACACGGTGAGCTGCACACGGTGAGCTGCACACGGTGAGCTGCACACGGTGAGCTGCACACGGTGAGCTGCACACGGTGAGTTGCACACGGTGAGTTGCACACGGTGAGTTGCACACGGTGAGTTGCACACGGTGAGTTGCACACGGTGAGTTGCACACGGTGAGTTGCACACGGTGAGTTGCACACGGTGAGTTGCACACGGTGAGTTGCACACGGTGAGTTGCACACGGTGAGTTGCACACGGTGAGTTGCACACGGTGAGCTGCACACGGTGAGCTGCACACGGTGAGCTGCACACGGTGAGCTGCACACGGTGAGTTGCACACGGTGAGTTGCACACGGTGAGCTGCACACGGTGAGCTGCACACGGTGAGCTGCACACGGTGAGCTGCACACGGTGAGCTGCACACGGTGAGCTGCACACGGTGAGTTGCGCACGGTGAGTTGCGCACGGTGAGTTGCGCACGGTGAGTTGCGCACGGTGAGTTGCGCACGGTGAGTTGCGCACGGTGAGCTGCGCACGGTGAGCTGCGCACGGTGAGCTGCGCACGGTGAGCTGCGCACGGTGAGCTGCGCACGGTGAGCTGCGCACGGTGAGCTGCGCACGGTGAGTTGCACACGGTGAGTTGCACACGGTGAGTTGCACACGGTGAGTTGCACACGGTGAGTTGCACACGGTGAGTTGCACACGGTGAGTTGCACACGGTGAGCTGCACACGGTGAGTTGCACACGGTGAGTTGCACACGGTGAGCTGCACACGGTGAGCTGCACACGGTGAGCTGCACACGGTGAGCTGCACACGGTGAGCTGCACACGGTGAGCTGCACACGGTGAGCTGCACACGGTGAGCTGCACACGGTGAGCTGCACACGGTGAGTTGCACACGGTGAGTTGCACACGGTGAGTTGCACACGGTGAGTTGCACACGGTGAGTTGCACACGGTGAGTTGCACACGGTGAGCTGCACACGGTGAGCTGCACACGGTGAGCTGCACACGGTGAGTTGCACACGGTGAGTTGCACACGGTGAGTTGCACACGGTGAGTTGCACACGGTGAGTTGCACACGGTGAGCTGCACACGGTGAGCTGCACACGGTGAGCTGCACACGGTGAGCTGCACACGGTGAGCTGCACACGGTGAGTTGCACACGGTGAGCTGCACACGGTGAGCTGCACACGGTGAGTTGCACACGGTGAGTTGCACACGGTGAGCTGCACACGGTGAGCTGCACACGGTGAGCTGCACACGGTGAGCTGCACACGGTGAGCTGCACACGGTGAGCTGCACACGGTGAGTTGCACACGGTGAGTTGCACACGGTGAGTTGCACACGGTGAGTTGCACACGGTGAGTTGCACACGGTGAGTTGCACACGGTGAGTTGCACACGGTGAGTTGCACACGGTGAGTTGCACACGGTGAGTTGCACACGGTGAGTTGCACACGGTGAGTTGCACACGGTGAGTTGCACACGGTGAGCTGCACACGGTGAGCTGCACACGGTGAGCTGCACACGGTGAGCTGCACACGGTGAGTTGCACACGGTGAGTTGCACACGGTGAGCTGCACACGGTGAGCTGCACACGGTGAGCTGCACACGGTGAGCTGCACACGGTGAGCTGCACACGGTGAGCTGCACACGGTGAGTTGCGCACGGTGAGTTGCGCACGGTGAGTTGCGCACGGTGAGTTGCGCACGGTGAGTTGCGCACGGTGAGTTGCGCACGGTGAGCTGCGCACGGTGAGCTGCGCACGGTGAGCTGCGCACGGTGAGCTGCGCACGGTGAGCTGCGCACGGTGAGCTGCGCACGGTGAGCTGCGCACGGTGAGTTGCACACGGTGAGTTGCACACGGTGAGTTGCACACGGTGAGTTGCACACGGTGAGTTGCACACGGTGAGTTGCACACGGTGAGTTGCACACGGTGAGTTGCACACGGTGAGTTGCACACGGTGAGTTGCACACGGTGAGCTGCACACGGTGAGCTGCACACGGTGAGCTGCACACGGTGAGCTGCACACGGTGAGCTGCACACGGTGAGCTGCACACGGTGAGCTGCACACGGTGAGCTGCACACGGTGAGCTGCACACGGTGAGCTGCACACGGTGAGCTGCACACGGGGAGCTGCACACGGCGAGTTGCACACGGCGAGCTGCACACGGCGAGCTGCACACGGTGAGCTGCACACGGTGAGCTGCACACGGTGAGTTGCACACGGTGAGTTGCACACGGTGAGTTGCACACGGTGAGTTGCACACGGTGAGTTGCACACGGTGAGTTGCACACGGTGAGTTCCACACGGTGAGTTGCACACGGTGAGCTGCACACGGTGAGCTGCACACGGTGAGCTGCACACGGTGAGCTGCACACGGTGAGTTGCACTCGGTGAGTTGCACACGGTGAGTTGCACACGGTGAGTTGCACACGGTGAGTTGCACACGGTGAGCTGCACACAGTGAGCTGCACACGGTGAGCTGCACACGGTGAGTTGCACACGGTGAGTTGCACACGGTGAGTTGCACACGGTGAGCTGCACACGGTGAGTTGCACACGGTGAGTTGCACACGGTGAGTTGCACACGGTGAGTTGCACACGGTGAGCTGCACACGGTGAGCTGCACACTGCACACGGTGAGTTGCACACGGTGAGTTGCACACGGTGAGTTGCACACGGTGAGTTGCACACGGTGAGTTGCACACGGTGAGTTGCACACGGTGAGTTGCACACGGTGAGTTGCACACGGTGAGTTGCCTCTACTCTTCTGTGCAATGAGGGGGTAATAGTCTTGTGAGGGGCGTTGGGCTTGTGGTTGAGATGAGTCGGAGGAGCCATAAGGAGTAACTGAGCTTGACACAGTGAGTTGCTGAGGAGTCTTCAGGTGCCTCAAAAGGCGCCTCAAAAGTCGCCTCAAAAGGCGTTGGGTTTGTGGTTGAGACAGAGGAGCTGTAAGGGGTGGTTTCGCTGCACACGGTGAGTTGCACACGGTGAGTTGCACACGGTGAGTTGCACACGGTGAGCTGCACACGGTGAGTTGCACACGGTGAGTTGCACACGGTGAGTTGCACACGGTGAGTTGCACACGGTGAGTTGCACACGGTGAGTTGCACACGGTGAGTTGCACACGGTGAGTTCCACACGGTGAGTTGCACACGGTGAGTTGCACACGGTGAGCTGCACACGGTGAGCTGCACACGGTGAGCTGCACACGGTGAGTTGCACTCGGTGAGTTGCACACGGTGAGTTGCACACGGTGAGTTGCACACGGTGAGTTGCACACGGTGAGTTGCACACGGTGAGTTGCACACGGTGAGCTGCACACGGTGAGCTGCACACGGTGAGCTGCACACGGTGAGTTGCACACGGTGAGTTGCACACGGTGAGTTGCACACGGTGAGTTGCACACGGTGAGTTGCACACGGTGAGTTGCACACGGTGAGTTGCACACGGTGAGTTGCACACGGTGAGTTGCACACGGTGAGTTGCACACGGTGAGTTGCCTCTACTCTTCTGTGCAATGAGGGGGTAATAGTCTTGTGAGGGGCGTTGGGCTTGTGAGGGGCGTTGGGTTGAGATGAGTCGGAGGAGCCATAAGGAGTAACTGAGCTTGACACAGTGAGTTGCTGAGGAGTCTTAAGGTGCCTCAAAAGGCGCCTCAAAAGTCGCCTCAAAAGGCGTTGGGTTTGTGGTTGAGACAGAGGAGCTGCAAGGGGTGGTTTCGCTCCACACGGTGAGTTGCTGCTGATGAGGAGTCTAGTCCGTGTGCATCAAGTTTTGGGGCAACTCAAAACTGGATCTGTTTCTCTCACATTCCCTCCTCCCTCATTGTCACTTCCCACTCAAGCGTGTAATGAGTCGACTCAAAACTCGACTCATTACACGACTCATTAAACTGGATCTGTTTCTCTCACATTTCGTCCTCCCTCACTGTCACTTCCCACTCAATCCCCTTCCTATTCCCCTACACTCCCCTCCCCACCCCATTCCCCTCACCTCCCCACTAAGTTTGGTTCTTGAGACGTCTCAAAAACAGATTCTACTCCCCCCCACTCCCATTCCCCTTCCTCCCCGGCCCCTGCCAGATCTCCTCTTTGCGCCCCAGTCACAGCGACCCCACCAAGTTCTATCTTGCCACGTCAGCGCGCACGCTCATCCTGTGTGCTGAGTCAGCAGAAGACCGTTCCCTTTGGCTGCAAGCTATCGAGGTGTGAATTTCAAAGCATGCGCGCATGCATGCATGCACACACGCGCACACACACAAAAGCACACATGAGCCAACCAGCCCCCCGTCACGGCTCCCTATGGCTGCAAGCTCTCAATGCTGGGTTTGAGCCGCATGATTCGACTTTTGAGTTGATTTTTGAGGCGCCTCAAAAGTCAACTCGCTGCAAGCTCCCAATGCTGAGTTTGAGCCCATGATTCGACTGTTGAGGCGCCTCAAAAGTCGTCTTTCGAGGCGCCCAAAAAGTCTGGCTGCAAGCTCTCAATGCTAAGTTTGAGCCCCATGATTCCACGCATGCATCCACCAGCCAAGCCCGCTTCCTGGTTCTTTCCTGGACAAGCTTTGGCCGACCCTGCTTTGGCCCTCCCGGTTTTTTTCTTACTGCCTCTTGCGGCGGAAGACATTGATTGGATGTGCCCCTTCCCCTTGGTTCGGCGTGTCGAGGCCCGCCCGGTGCCCACAATCTGAGCAGCCCTTGCCTAGAAGTTGAGTAGTTATTCAAAGTGCTGAAGTGATTTTCAAGTGTCAGGAAGTCTAGGAGACAGCGTTTTTGTATGTGCGACGATGATGCGATGCATGCTCTTTAGACTGACTGGCTTTCTTAACGACTCTTACACCGTGGGTCCCCTCCCCTCCCTCCCGTTGCCCCACAATGCAGGCTGCAAGGCTGTCTTTCCCTGTCCCTGCTGGATTGGCTGCTGCTGCTGAGCCAATCTCCCCTGCTCTCTCCTCCCTCGGGATTGCCTTTCTTTCTCCTATGCCGCCTCCTGCCCTTGCTGCTGCTGCCACACCCATTGCAACTGGTGCTACCGATAGCGATGACGTCAGCGACGGTCATGGTGACGTGGACGTAGATGTTGGTGGAGTGGACACAGAACCGACCCCGTCACGCATTTCCCTCCAGCCTATGGTTGATTTTCTGAGGGCAGATGACGTCAGCAATGACGTCATCATGCAGTGCGAGGAGGTGGTTCGGCGGCAGGTGGTGGCGCCGGTGCTTTTGGGGGAGAGGCGGGCAAAGGAGCACCTTATATCGAGGATGCAGCAGCTGGAGGTACAGTCCGGTCCGTCCATGTGTATGCATGTATGTGGAGTGGAGCCTATTCTTGAGTTGACTCAATTTTGGCCTATTTTTTTAGTCGACTCAAAATTAGCAGCTGGAGGTACGGTCCGGTCCGTCCATGTGTGTGCATGTATGTGGTGTGGAGTGGAGTTTGACTGTAGTAAGCTTATGATGAGCATCCAGCTGCAGCTAGAGGTATACGGGTACTGGGGAGGGGAGTTTCCTGTGTTGTCTTGATATAAGAACAAACTTTTCATTTGCTTCTTCCTAATTTTGTGTGATTAAACATGCGTGCGGGGGGGGCATGTGGATATGTGCTGACCTGACATGGCATGGCATGGCATGGCATGGCATGGCATGGCAGATTGAGAAAGCTCTATTGGAGTCGGAGTTGATTCGCATGCAGAGGAGGAGGGGGTGGAGGAGAGGGGCTGGCAGGGGAGGTGAGGGAGGAGAATGGGGGAAGGTGGAGGGAGGAGAAGAAGAAGGAAAGGCGGAGGAAGGAGCGGAGGAATGGGAGGAGGAAGGTGAAAACGAGGAGGAGGAGGAGGAGGAGGAGGAGGAGGAGGAGGAGGAGGAGGAGGAGGAGGAGGAGGAGGAGGAGGAGGAGGAGGAGGAGGAGGATGAGGATGAAGAGGAGTGTTTCTTTGAGGCAGCAGAGAAGCTAGCAGGGGAAGCAGAGGGGCGAGATGACTTGGTGGTTGAGGCGGAGGGCTCACAGCAAGGGGGAAGTGAAGGGGAAGCGGAGCAGGGGGAGGAGTACAAGTGGGGAGTGGATGGAGGCGGGGGAGAGGGAATGGCAGAGGGGGAAAGGGGGAGAGGACCAGAGAAGCACGAGACCATGGTGGAAAGGGGGAGGGCTGGGAAGGCCGAACTGCCACTGGATGAGGTAGTGGGATGGGATCTTGGGACATTTTTCAGTGAGCAGCACTTGCGTAGGAGTAGGTTTAAGCAAGTAGGAAAAGCAGTAAGTAGTGGGATGGGAAGAGCTGTTTTCTCTAAGTATGGAAATTGTCAAGTGATAAATGCATGCCCCAGGTCTCCTGTTGAGAATGTGAAATCCCCCTCCCCCCACCTTCTCTTTCTCGCTCGCTTCACACCCTCCCTCTTCCCACCTCCAGGTCGGCTTCTCTTACCCTTTTGTCCCACGCCGCACGCGTCTCCCGCTACCAGACAAGCAAAACCGCCCGGGCAGCCTGGCCGGCGGGCTGTGGGCGGCGCTGCGCGAGTGCGTGGGGCGGGATTTGTCCCGAGTGTGCCTGCCAGTGCAGCTGAACGAGCCAATAGGGTTGCTGCACAAGTGCGCGGAGGAGATGGAGTACAGCTGGCTGCTTGACCGGGCGGCAGAGTATGGGCGGCGGGTGAGTCGGTGGGCGGCGGGTGAGGAGGGTGTGGGCGGCAGAGTACGGCTGGAAGGTGAGTCGGTGGGAGAAATGGTGGCAGGGCAGGGTATGTGAGAGAGTGGGCAGCCGTGTATGGATTGGAGGTTGTAGTGTAGTGTGTGGCCGCAGGAAGGCAGGGTGGGAGAGCTGTAGATGGATGGATGAGAGAGAGCTAAGCGGGACAAGGGAAGGCGGGAAAAAGGGAAATGGAAAAGGAAAAGGAGGAGAAGGAGAAAGGGAAAGGTGCATGGTGGGCATATCCCAGCCCCACACTTGCCCCCACCTACTACCCCTATTTGATAATTTCCCGGTAGTGTCTGAAGAAATAATAGTTTCTGGTAGACGAATTCCTATTTTATTCCTGGCCCCACCTTCTGCTCCCCTCTGCTTCTTCTCCAGGGCGATCAGCTAATGAGAGCCCTCCACGTGGCAGCCTTTGCAATGTCAGGCTATGCCAACACCAGTGCCCGCATGCACAAGCCCTTCAATCCGCTGCTGGGGGAGACGTATGAAGCTAACTACCCTGACAAGGGCTTTAAGCTGCTAGCGGAGAAGGTGGGTGGCAGAGAAGGTGAGTGACTTGTGTGGCTAATGATAGGAGGCAGGCAGGAGTGCCCCCTTTTTCCTGTGCTGCCTTGCCCACCACGAGTGCTGCACTGCGCACATGCACAAGCCCTTCAACTCACCCCGCTGCTGGGGGAGACGTACAAGGCTGATTACCCCGACAAGTTCTTCAAGCTGCTGGCGGCTGGGTGAGTTGCTTGCAGCTAATGCCAGCGGGCAGGCAGGTGTGCTACTCTCCTGTCCTACCCACGCCAGTGTTGCACAAACACAAGCTCGTTGCGCAAACACAAGCTCGTTGCACAAACACAAGCTCGTTGCACAAACACAAGCTCGTTGCACAAACACAAGCTCGTTGCACAAACACAAGCTCGTTGCGCAAACACAAGCTCGTTGCACAAACACAAGCTCGTTGCACAAACACAAGCTCGTTGCACAAACACAAGCTCGTTGCACAAACACAAGCTCGTTGCACAAACACAAGCTCGTTGCACAAACACAAGCCGTTTGCACGGCTCTGCTGGGAGGACATACTGGGCGAGCTAGCAGCGTGATAGAACTTATCATCAGCTAGCAGCTAGCAGTTTTGAGACATTTCAAAACTCAACTTTTATCTCGTGGCTCTGCTGGGAGGACATACAGGCCGAGCTAGCAAACAAAGCCATTGAGCTTCTGCCCCCGTCTTCCCCCCCCAACAAGCTTCCCCCGTTCCAACATCCCTTCCTGTTTTTCGTTCTGCGTATTCTCTACAGGTGACTTTTGAGTCGACTCAAAAGTCAACATCCCTTCCTGTTCTTCGTTCTGCGTATTCTCCTCTACAGGTTCTGAACCACCCACCAACAGTGGCAGCACATTGCTGGGGCAACGGGTGGCAGCTGTTTGGAGACTCGACGCTCAAGGTGCGGTTCTGGGGGCCCTTCTATGCATCGTGCCTTCACCACCCCCCCTGAGGGCAACGGGTGGCAGCTGTTTGGAGATTCTACCCTCAAGGTGCGGTTCTGGGGGCCGTCCAAGCACCTGGTGCCCTCTTCTCTCCCTTCTCTCTCCTCCCGCACCTGCGCTCTTATCCTCTCACCTGTCTTCTTCTCGTATCACCTGCTCTTTGCTCGACGTTTGGTTCTGGGTTCTCTCCATGCACCTGCTGCCAACTCCTCTCCGCTTCCTCCTCTCCTCCCCTGCTCCTCTCCCCTCCCTGCAGGTGCGGTTCTGGGGGCCGTCCAAGCACCTAGTGCCCTGTGGGGTTATCTCTGTGGTGTTACATCCACCCCTTCACCTAAAACAACACGAGTTGATGGAAGTAAGGCCTCCGCAGCCCACCTGTCCTCTTTTGACATATCCACCCCTTCACCTTCCCCACTTTCCTCCCCTCTTACCCCCCATCATCCCTGCAGGTACGCTTCTGGGGGTCGTCCATACACCTAGTGCCCTGTGGAGTCATCTCCACCCCCCGTCCTCCCCCTTCCCCCATTTCCCTCCCCTTTCCTCCTCTCCTCCCCTGCTCCTTCCCCCCCCTGCTCCTCCCTGCAGGTGCGCTTCTGGGGGTCGTCCATGAACCTGGTGCCATGTGGAGTTACATCCACCCCTATTCCTTCACCTTTATTCCTCTTCCGGCCCCATTTCCTCCCCTCTTGCCCTCAAGGTGCGCTTCTGGGGGTCGTCCATGCACCTGGTGCCATGTGGAGTGATCTCCGTGGTATTTGATGATGATGTAGAGGGGGGGAAGGAGAAGAAAGCGAGGGGGGGAGATGGCGGGGAGGAGGAGGAGGGAGCTCGGGACACGGTGGAGGAGAGGGATGAAGAGGAGGAGAGTAAGAAAAGCAATAGTGGCAACAAGGAGAGTTTTCCGAAATCGTTGGGAGTTGGAGGGGGTGGGGAGCAGTACGAGTGGAGCAAGGTGACAACGGGCATCTACAACATACTAGTGGGGAAGCTTCAAGTGGAGCACTTCGGCACCATGCACATCCGAGGCAGTCGGGGGCTGTCGGTGTCTTTGCATTTTAAAGAGCCGTCGCTCTTCGACTGCAGCAAGCACCAGGTGAGTTGGGGTGAGTTGAGGGCAGTGGGCATGAGGTCTCAGGTATTCGAGAGGTCTTTCTCTGCATCTATGCAGCACAGTCCGTCGGGGGCTGTCGGTGTCTTTGCACTTCAAGAAGCCCTCTCTCTTCGACCGCAGCAAGTACCAGGTGCGTTCTAAGGCAGTGGGGGGACGTGGTGTGAGTGTAGCACAGGCGTGGGGGGGCTGTCGGTATGTTTGCACTTCAAGGAGCCTTCTCTGTTCGACCGTAGCAAGCACCAGGTGAGTGAAGGGCTGTGTTGGATGCACGTGATAAATAGTTGATTTTAGAGAGGTCTCAAAAATCAGCTTCGATCACGTGCGTGCATGCATGCATGCATCCCTTGTGTATCCTTTCTCTGCTGTTTCCATCCCCTCTCTCCAACCCCTCATTACTTCCTCTCCCCCCACCCCACCAGGTGCACGGGCACGTGCAGAACGAGCAGGGGGTAAAACTAGCAATGCTGCACGGCCGGTGGGACCAGCACTTGATCTTCACCCTCACTCACCACGGCAGGGAGCACTGCAGGCAGCAATTCAACCAGAGAGGCAGGCAGCATGACAGGAGGCAAATTGAAAAGAGCGTGAAGCAACAAGATGCAATTGGGGCTGGGGAGGGGGGTCATGGGGTGCGTAAGTCAGCTGCTCTGGGGAGGGCGTACCTGGGGGAAGGGTCTTCTGGGCCTGATGTGTCTTCTGAGGCGCGGCAAAAGTCAGCTGCTGTGGGGCGGCTGTACCTGGGGGAGGTGTCTTCTGGTCCTGATGTGGGTGGCAGTGGATTGGATGAGACGAATCACGGAGATGGCTGTGAGAGGGATGCTCTGACCCCAGTAGCAGCACCACCTGAAAACCCACCTGTGCTCCCACCTGTGCTCCGACCTGAGCACCCACCTGAGCATCAACCTGAGAATCCACGTCAGCGTCCACATGGGCCTCCACCTGAGAAACCACCTGAGCACACACCTAGGCACTTTGCTGATCGTCCAGCAACCCGATCAGCACCTCATTCGCTGTGGCACAAGGCTGCCTCAGCCACGGCTCATCACCAACAGCAGCAGCAGCAGCAGCAGCAGCAGCAGCAGCAGCAGCAGCAGCAGCAGCAGCAGCAGGAGGAGGAGCAGCAAAAAAACCATGGCAACAACAAGTACAACTTTTCACCCTTTTGTGTCACACTCAACGAGATCACGCCAGATATTGCGGTGAGCTGTCCAACGTGTTTCACAGGGACTGGGTTGGTTCGTTCGTATCAGTAAAGATTAGGAGCTTTGGAAAACACATTAGGCCGAGCTGAAGATTAGGAATAAAAACTGATGATGATTAAGGACCAGAGTAGACTGCATATTTCCAGGAAGGGAGCAATTCGTGAAATTTCAGGAATAGTGTCGACAGCACACATGGCATGAAGGAATAGTGTCGACAGCACACATGGCATGAAGGAATAGTGTCGACAGCACACATGGCATGAAGGAATAGTGTCGACAGCACACATGGCATGAAGGAATAGTGTCGACAGCACACATGGCATGAAGGAATAGTGTCGACAGCACACATGGCATGAAGGAATAGTGTCGACAGCACACATGGCATGAAGGAATAGTGTCGACAGCACACATGGCATGAAGGAATAGTGTCGACAGCACACATGGCATGAAGGAATAGTGTCGACAGCACACATGGCATGAAGGAATAGTGTCGACAGCACACATGGCATGAAGGAATAGTGTCGACAGCACACATGGCATGAAGGAATAGTGTCGACAGCACACATGGCATGAAGGAATAGTGTCGACAGCACACATGGCATGAAGGAATAGTGTCGACAGCACACATGGCATGAAGGAATAGTGTCGACAGCACACATGGCATGAAGGAATAGTGTCGACAGCACACATGGCATGAAGGAATAGTGTCGACAGCACACATGGCATGAAGGAATAGTGTCGACAGCACACATGGCATGAAGGAATAGTGTCGACAGCACACATGGCATGAAGGAATAGTGTCGACAGCACACATGGCATGAAGGAATAGTGTCGACAGCACACATGGCATGAAGGAATAGTGTCGACAGCACACATGGCATGAAGGAATAGTGTCGACAGCACACATGGCATGAAGGAATAGTGTCGACAGCACACATGGCATGAAGGAATAGTGTCGACAGCACACATGGCATGAAGGAATAGTGTCGACAGCACACATGGCATGAAGGAATAGTGTCGACAGCACACATGGCATGAAGGAATAGTGTCGACAGCACACATGGCATGAAGGAATAGTGTCGACAGCACACATGGCATGAAGGAATAGTGTCGACAGCACACATGGCATGAAGGAATAGTGTCGACAGCACACATGGCATGAAGGAATAGTGTCGACAGCACACATGGCATGAAGGAATAGTGTCGACAGCACACATGGCATGAAGGAATAGTGTCGACAGCACACATGGCATGAAGGAATAGTGTCGACAGCACACATGGCATGAAGGAATAGTGTCGACAGCACACATGGCATGAAGGAATAGTGTCGACAGCACACATGGCATGAAGGAATAGTGTCGACAGCACACATGGCATGAAGGAATAGTGTCGACAGCACACATGGCATGAAGGAATAGTGTCGACAGCACACATGGCATGAAGGAATAGTGTCGACAGCACACATGGCATGAAGGAATAGTGTCGACAGCACACATGGCATGAAGGAATAGTGTCGACAGCGCACATGGCATGAAGGAATAGTGTCGACAGCACACATGGCATGAAGGAATAGTGTCGACAGCACACATGGCATGAAGGAATAGTGTCGACAGCACACATGGCATGAAGGAATAGTGTCGACAGCACACATGGCATGAAGGAATAGTGTCGACAGCACACATGGCATGAAGGAATAGTGTCGACAGCACACATGGCATGAAGGAATAGTGTCGACAGCACACATGGCATGAAGGAATAGTGTCGACAGCACACATGGCATGAAGGAATAGTGTCGACAGCACACATGGCATGAAGGAATAGTGTCGACAGCACACATGGCATGAAGGAATAGTGTCGACAGCACACATGGCATGAAGGAATAGTGTCGACAGCACACATGGCATGAAGGAATAGTGTCGACAGCACACATGGCATGAAGGAATAGTGTCGACAGCACACATGGCATGAAGGAATAGTGTCGACAGCACACATGGCATGAAGGAATAGTGTCGACAGCACACATGGCATGAAGGAATAGTGTCGACAGCACACATGGCATGAAGGAATAGTGTCGACAGCACACATGGCATGAAGGAATAGTGTCGACAGCACACATGGCATGAAGGAATAGTGTCGACAGCACACATGGCATGAAGGAATAGTGTCGACAGCACACATGGCATGAAGGAATAGTGTCGACAGCACACATGGCATGAAGGAATAGTGTCGACAGCACACATGGCATGAAGGAATAGTGTCGACAGCACATATGGCATGAAGGAATAGTGTCGACAGCACACATGGCATGAAGGAATAGTGTCGACAGCACACATGGCATGAAGGAATAGTGTCGACAGCACACATGGCATGAAGGAATAGTGTCGACAGCACACATGGCATGAAGGAATAGTGTCGACAGCACACATGGCATGAAGGAATAGTGTCGACAGCACACATGGCATGAAGGAATAGTGTCGACAGCACACATGGCATGAAGGAATAGTGTCGACAGCACACATGGCATGAAGGAATAGTGTCGACAGCACACATGGCATGAAGGAATAGTGTCGACAGCACACATGGCATGAAGGAATAGTGTCGACAGCACACATGGCATGAAGGAATAGTGTCGACAGCACACATGGCATGAAGGAATAGTGTCGACAGCACACATGGCATGAAGGAATAGTGTCGACAGCACACATGGCATGAAGGAATAGTGTCGACAGCACACATGGCATGAAGGAATAGTGTCGACAGCACACATGGCATGAAGGAATAGTGTCGACAGCACACATGGCATGAAGGAATGGTGTCGACAGCACACATGGCATGAAGGAATGGTGTCGACAGCACACATGGCATGAAGGAATGGTGTCGACAGCACACATGGCATGAAGGAATGGTGTCGACAGCACACATGGCATGAAGGAATAGTGTCGACAGCACACATGGCATGAAGGAATAGTGTCGACAGCACACATGGCATGAAGGAATAGTGTCGACAGCACACATGGCATGAAGGAATAGTGTCGACAGCACACATGGCATGAAGGAATAGTGTCGACAGCACACATGGCATGAAGGAATAGTGTCGACAGCACACATGGCATGAAGGAATAGTGTCGACAGCACACATGGCATGAAGGAATAGTGTCGACAGCACACATGGCATGAAGGAATAGTGTCGACAGCACACATGGCATGAAGGAATAGTGTCGACAGCACACATGGCATGAAGGAATAGTGTCGACAGCACACATGGCATGAAGGAATAGTGTCGACAGCACACATGGCATGAAGGAATAGTGTCGACAGCACACATGGCATGACTTTCCTTCTTGCTCTGTGGGATGCACAACTTTGGGACGCCTCATGAGGTCACTTTTGAGTCGGTTCAGGAATAGTGTCGACAGCACACATGGCATGTCTTTCCTTCTTGCTCTGTGGGATGCACAATTTTAGGACGCCTCGTGATTCTCTTTACTATCTCTTCCATGCCTTTCTTGCAGCACTTCCTCCCCCCCACAGACTCCCACTTTCGCCCGGACCAGAGGGCCCTGGAGGAGGGGGACGAAGCGACTCAGAACAAACTTATTGCGGTATCACATGGTGCTGCACATGTCTCAAAGCTGCCTACCCATTATTGTTTCCGCTCCTTGCTTGCAGCCCTTCCTTCCCCCCACGGACTCCCGCTTTCGCCCGGACCAGAGGGCCCTGGAGGAGGGGGACGAAGCACGGGCGAACGAGGAGAAACGGCGGCTGGAGGGGAAGCAACGCAAGGTAGGAGAACGGGTCAAGAGGCTGGGGGGAAATGCGGTTCAAATGGACATGGAGGAGTGGGAAAAAGTGTGTTACAATAGTGTGAATCAGGTTTGACTCTAACAGGTGCTGCTGGCATATTTTTTACAATGTCTGCATAAGTGCGCTTTTGTGGAGCTTTAGTGTGCGTTAGCAATTAATCCTAACAGAGAGTCGACAGGAAATTCTAGTAAACTCGCCTCCTCTGCATTGTTGTCGTGGCAGGCGCGGCAGGTGCAGGCGTCAGGTTGGGAGCCCAGGTGGTTTCAACAGGGGGCACCTGGCGGCACCTGGACGTACAAGGGAGGGTACTGGGAGAGGCGGTCAACCAGGGATTGGGGGGATATTCCTGACATCTTTGCTGCTGATGAGAGCAGCAGTGCTGGTGCCAGTGGTGCCAGTGATGCTGCTCCCAAAACTACTACCACTCTTGAGACGACTTAAAGGGCATGCGGCCAGGGACTGGCAGGGTGTCCCGGACATATTTGCTGCTGATGATGGCGGCAGTGCTGGTGCCAGTGGTGCCAGTGATGCTGCTCCCGTTGCTACTCCCACTTCTAGTGGTGCTCCTCCCGCTGCTCCTGCTGCTGCTACTACTCCTGCTCCTGCTAATCCTCCTCGTCCTGATGCTGCTGGTGCTGCTGCTCTGGTTGCCAGACCCGATGCTGCTGCTAGTGCTGGCTGACATGCTGCAGTTGCTCTTGCTAGCATTGCTGGCGGCTGCATTGTCACCAGTGCTGGTACGTGTAGGTGAGGCAGGCGGCCAGGGCCTGGCATGGCATCCCTGATACCAGCACTGATACCCTACTGATGACAGTGCACTGCTGGTACTAGGTTGCCAGTGGTGGTGCTAGTGGTGGTGCTAGTATTTTTTGCTGCTGGTGCTGCTACTTCTGCCCCTCCTGCTCCTCCTCCTGCCCCTCCTGATCCTCCTCCTGCTCCTCCTCCTGCCCCTCCTGCTCCTCCTGCTTCTCCTCCCACTTCCCCACCTGCTCCTCCTCCTGCTGCTGTTGCTGCTGCTGCGGATCTGGTTGCCAGATTGAACAGTGATGGTTGGTGTCCTGCAGTGATGGCTGGTGTCCTGCAGTGATGGCTGGTGTCCTGCAGTGATGGCTGGTGTCCAGCAGTGATGCTCCCCTACTGATGCTGCTGCTGCTGCTCCTCCTGCCCCCCTTGCTCCTCCTCCTGCTGCTGTTGCTGCTGTTGCGGATCCAGTGCCATCTCCACTAATGCTGGCTGATATCCTGCAG